AGGCCCCTGGGTTCCACGAGATGACCTTCCAGTCCATCAACAAGTGCGATATCGACGTGCGTCGCGACCTGTACGGGAACATTGTGCTTTCCGGCGGGTCCACCATGTTCAAGAACCTTCCTGAGCGCCTTGGGAAGGAGATCAGTAACCTTGCGCCCTCTTCGATCAAGCCGAAGGTGGTTGCACCGCCGGAGCGGAAGTACAGTGTGTGGATTGGCGGCTCCATCCTTTCCTCCCTCACCACCTTCCAGACCATGTGGATCAAGAAGAGTGAGTACGACGAGGCCGGTCCGAGCATTGTGCACAACAAATGCTTTTAATATCGTGTTTTTTTAGGGACGAAAACAATAAGTGGTGATTGCGGATTTGTTTCTTTATTACTTGTTTTCTTTTTCTGTGTTGTATAATTTAAGCGCTATATGTTTTTTTTTGCTTTTCTTTTTTGCCATTCGCTCTGAATTGTTGTTGTTTCTCTTTGTTTATTTAGCTGACAATTGCCTTTCTGCTGAGAGTATGCTTGTGGGTGTTTGTTGCATGCGGCGCACAGTTGTGTATCTCTTTGTGTGTGCCTTCCACTGTCCCGCCATGTTTTTATTTGAGTCATACTCTTTTTTTTTTTGTGATTGCCGCAGCCTTCTTTTTTCTCTTATAGTTTTTTCTTTGTGCTAAGATTGCTGTAACGATGGAGGCGCAGGCTGCGTGTGAGCGCAGTACCGAAAGGTCGTTTGAGACGCAGTGCATAACGGATGACATCGCCGCTGTGCAGCAGCCACAGCACGCGGGTGCAAAGGAGGGTTCCCCCGTGGCTGCGTTTCATCTTCTTGGAAAGCTGAAGGCTGTTATTAATGAGATGGTGTTTGCGCTACAGGGTACGGCAAGCGCGCTTTCTGTGGACGACTGCATCAGCGTCATAGAAGAGGGGCTGCGGGCCCTGAAAACGATTAAGGTTGACCGGAGAATTGAGTGTCGCCGGCAGTTGAACCTGAACTCCACGCGCCTGGGCGGCGCCTCGCCGACAAGTCGCGAGGTGGACGACGGCGATCACGCCGAGAGCGAAGCTGCGGTGCCGTCAAGTCTGCAGCAGCTGTGTTCACCCAAGAGCAAAAAAGTTTCTCCGAAGCGGATGGCCAGTGAGTGGCAGAGACGCGACGAGGTTGAGGCGGCGCGGCAAGCCTCGGCTCTCCGCAGTGAGGAGCGGCAGCGCAAGGCGGAGGAGCGGCGGCTGGAAAGGCTGCAGGAGAGGAAGTCAAGGCTGGTGGCCGCCGGGGAACGAAGCTTTCAGGCTAAGCAGCGGCGTACGCAGGCCGAGGAGCGGCTGCGTAACGACACGCTGGAGCGGCAGGAGCACGGGGTCCGCCGCGTCGAGGAGGCGCGGGAGCAGACGAAGGAGCGTGCCAGGCGGGGCAATTCACGGGTGGAGGAGGTGCGACTTAACTACGAGCTGCGGCACCAAACGAAGGCGCTATTGCTTGATCGCAAAATGTCGGAGGTCGAACACAACCAGGAGCAAAAGCGGGAGGAGCTTCAGCGGATCGCGCAGGAGCGCAACGAGGCCATGCAGGCCGCCGCCGAACGAAGGCGAAATCTCAGCCAAGAGCGCATTGAGCGACAGCAGCAGCGTGAGCAGCAGCGGCGGGAGAACGTCAGACGCCTTGAGGAGCAGAAAAAGATCGAAAAGGAATTGAAGGAGCAACGGGTCGAAGAATGGGAAAAAAGGGCGCAACAACGGCAAAGGGATGCATGCGCAGAGGCGGAGGCGCGCAGTCGGAAGGCGGAGGAACGTATTCAACAAAGTGCCCAGTTACGGGAGGAGAAACGAGAGATGTTGCGTCTGAAGCTTGTGAAGCAGGAGCAGAAGATTAGAGAGGCGCGCCAGCGCAAGGAGCGTGAGGCCGACACCAAACCTACCATCCAGGAGCTCATGCCGGTTATTCCACCACAGGAAGAAGATCAATTGGCGCAGAAATTAGCCAAGGTGGTGGCGGCCACTGCGCGACAAGGGAAAAGTTATATGGAAAACTATCAGAAGGAAAGTACCACCAGTGCAAAGGACTTAAATCGAAGTAAGTTGAGATCGATCATCAGTCGACTGGGCCCAAACACGGCACCTGCCTCACTGGTGCAGTGCCGTCAACCACTTCATGACCTACTGGCGATGGCGGAGTTCGCCGACACAGATCATGAGTACGTGCGCTACTTTAACGCCTATGAGAGTTTAACGCGCGTGATGATGGATGCTCGCCGGGCGAATGACATGGTGACTTTCCGCCTCGCCTGTAATGCGCTGCTGCGCTTTCTCACCGATGCGCAAGAGGGGAAACAGCATGTTCTGGTATTTATTCGGTCGGGAGACCTCGCCCCGCTGTTAGTCTGCATCCGTGATGAAATAAAGGGTCTAAAGCGTCACAGTCACTCCATCCCACTCACAGCCTCACTTGAAATACTACAACTCTGTTTTGAACGCATTGGCATAGATGCTCAATCAAATGTTAAACTTATTACGGTTCGGGATCAGTTATTGGCCGATTTGGATGCAGCATGCATTGATAAGTACTGTGTTGCCGTCTCGCGGGCATGCACGGGTGAGGAAGATTTAGAGGTTGTCTACAGTGCGACCCGATTAATACATTCCCAGGTTTGTATTTTGAGTAAAAAGAAGGGTGATTGCCCTGCTGTATGGTTTCGCCAAGTAGCATGCGCCTTCTTTACTCTGCTTGAGAATATATTGACGCCTGATGGATGTCCTTTGAGCAAGACGAGCCCATTGCTCAGTGCCCGGCGCATCACAATCGTCTTTGTCGTGTTCCGAGTCTTAAACTCTCTTGCACGTTGGCGACTGGAGATTTTACAGGAGGTGCTACATGACTCTCCTATTGACAAGGCTGGCGCGAACGTTCACGTAGACCCGAAGGTTATGTCGGCGAAAACAACAAATGTGATCACACAAACCGAACTGTTCCACGTGCTTAGTGGATTCTTCGCCTATGTTGAGGCTCATGCCGATTTGCTTGAGACTATTCCTGGCGAGAGTACTACTGGGGAAGGTGTGCATGGGACCTTCGCGAACGCATTGAAGTTTGGCGTGACGCTGCAGCAAATCCCGCCTTTTCCCGCCCCGCAACCCCCAAATAGCCCCACGGCAGGGCTAACATCCGCACAAACTCGTCAATCCTACCATCTACGGGCCGCACTCCACGAATGCCTTCTTCTTATTGGCTACCTTTGCGTACAGGACAAACAGATTCAAGGCATGTTTGCCTGGGGAAAGGGTAAATCATTACTCTCCAGAATTCTCTCGGCCTTACCGTTTCAGTACTTTACTTCCGCATGTCACATTCTCTACCCCACCTTGCTTGCCATTCTTGTGGACACGGAGGACAACCTTACCTTGGCGAAGGGGGAGATGGACATTAAACCACTGCTGGGCCTCGTCGAGGAGGAGTACCAGGCGCTTCCGAAGAAGGCCAAACTCTACGCACTCCAGCGACACGCGGAGTTGCATCCAGTGCCCAAGGAGGGACAAGAGAAGGATGTTCAGCCTCCGCGTTGGGTTGATCTTCTTGGCGGCGACGACGATGATTTTTTTATCCATAAAAACATTACACCAGCACCCACCCCCGCAGCAAAGGTGCATCCTCTTTCCACACCAGAAAAGGAGAAACTTTATAGACAGCTTAAAAACCCGGCGCTGACGCCCTCAGGGTACTTCCGGATTGAACGACGTTTTCCTTTGGCTCTTTGGCCGTCTGTGATGGAGCAACTAACGAGAGTGGTCAAGGAAAGCAATAAGAGCGAGAGTGATAAAGCAAACTAAATGCCCGCCCCCTCAACGAAGATGAGGTCAATTCTTTATTTCTGCATCTACATCTCCCAGGTACTATTATCCTTCTCTCTATCTGTCTGTCTCTCTCTCTCTCTCTCCCTCTCCCTGTGGGTCTCTCTCTAGCGTCCTGTTTATTAATGGAAGTTCGCTTTCCGCGAAGTGGAGCTGGCCCGTTTTCTCTCCCGCCCGCTGCTGCGGACTCCAAGCGAACGCAACACGCGGGCGGACCACAATATTTGCTCTGTTTTCTTCTGGGGTTTCCTTTTCTCTCCTTTTATTTGTTTGGGCTTCTTCGCTTTCTTTTGTTTTTGCTTTCTTTCCGTTTTCGCCGGCACTATTTCAACGAAATAGAACTAAAATCAATACGCGCGTCACATTTTTCCCCAACGTGTATTGTTACTGTTCGGATTGTGCCAACAGTTCCTCGTAGGATAGCCTCATCCTTGCCAGGAGTGGAGAGGAAGAAACAAAAAGCGGATTCTTATATAGAGATAAAGCGAACTTCTCTGCGCCATGTTTCGTCGTTCCTGCCGCAGACTTGGTCACCAGCTGATCAAGGAGCCGATGGGGCATGAGGAAAACACCTTTGCTCGTGGGCAACGAACGATGAGGAATGCGTTGAATCATGTGTATGCGGTGGCTGCTTTCTGTGGTGTGGGATGCGCCTGCGCCGCATGTACGCTTGTATCGGCCATGAGGCGTCCTTACCGGTGTGTAAACTCCAAGGGTGAGTTGAGGAAGGATTCTTGTCCGACTATGTGGTGGAACTATTGAGCAGGGAGGCATTAGTTAATTACTTAGGGGAAGGTTGTTCGTGTGGTGTGAGGTTTGTTTCTGCGCGAGAGCGTGCGTGTGGGTGCCGATAGTTGTTGTTGTGGTTGTTGTTTTTTTTTTAAGTGGCGCCACTACACACTTGTCTAGCTGTCGCTTCGAATTTAGCAAAGGAAACAGAGGAGTGCATCTAGTTGAATACTCAGTGGGGGGGGGGCAAAGATGAAACAATTGTGGATGAATTTATGTTGTTGTGGGTGTTTTTTTTGTTGTTGTTGTTCTTTTTTTTTGCCACCATGGTACTACGCAGCTGTAAATGTGTGTGCACGTGCCAGCGGCATATGGAGTCATGCTGCCTGCGTGTTTGCGTCACGACGGTGTCCTCAACGCAAGCTGTCCTCAAAGAGATTCCAGCCTTCGCTCTTCCCCAGAATACGATTCTGGCTGCCTTTCTGCCCTTCTCTGTATCTATGTCTATCTTTGCCGCCTCCGCAGGCACGGCTGCGTAACAGCAAGCGGGATACCATGCCCCTTCGCCCAGTAAAACCGTCGGCAAAGAAGGGCGGCAAGTCGACACGCGCGCGACACATTGCGCCGCGCGAGGTATACATCAGGGCTTGCGCGGAGGCTGGTCTGAGCCCGAATAGCGGCGTGATGGACCTCCTTTCCCTTTACCAAGAGTCTGCCAGTGTAGAGTCCATCGACGTTAGCCGCAACTACTTGGGAAACAAAGGGGTCATTCCTCTGCTGGTCGTTGTGGATCGATGCAACAATCTGCGCGAGGTCATCCTCAGCGAGAATGGTCTGCGGAATAGTGCCATTGCTGCACTGTGCAATTCTGCTGTAAAGCATCCCTCTCTGAAGAGCATTGACCTCTCTGACAATTATATCAGCGAGGGCGCTGCTGTCCAGCTTCAGCGGCTTTTGGAGGATAATCCCAAGGTGTGTGAGCTTGGGATAGACAACACCAAGATTGATGTAGAGTGGCGTCTGAAGCTTCGTGACCTCGTCCGAACGAATGCTGCTGCTGCTGCCGCCGCCGCCGCCGAGGCCGCCGCCGCCGCCGCCGCTGCAGATGCAGCTGCGAGTCAGCAGGATGTAACAAAGTGACGTGAGTGAGGCAACTGAGGGAAGAAGGAAGAGGAGGCAGCATCAGCGGCAATAAGATACACCTCTTTTACTTTCCCCATCTCTCTCTCTTCTCTCTCATTGCGTGTGTGTGTTTGCACAGGTGGGATTGCTGCTTCACATTTCTCATTCCTCGTTTTTTTTTCACCGTGTTTCCGTGCATTGTGTGTTTGTGCGGATCTGTGTGTGTGAAATGTGGGCCTGTTTGGGCTCTGGCATAACGACACTTCGTCTGGCGTTGTTGTTGTTTTTTTTTCTTCTCTCTCTCTCTTTTATCTTTGCCTGGGCTCATGCACTGACGCACCTCAACGTGTGGTGCTAGGTGATGCTGTCACCGAAGCGGGTTAGGCTAGATAAGCCGATAGCGGCGGCGCACAAACGTATATTTGCCTTTCTTCTTTGCGTCAATGAGGAGCGCGGCATTCGTGCAACACTTCGGGTTGCTGGTGGTTGGGTGCGGGATGTCCTGCTAGGTCTCCACTCACAGGATATTGACATTGCCATTGAGTCTCCCGATTCGAGGCATGTCTCCGGGGAACTCTTTGCGCGTGAGGTTGCGGCGTATCAGCAGACGATGGGTATGGCCTCGCGCACGGTGAGCGTCATCCGAGTCAATCCGGAGTTGTCCAAGCACATTGAGACCGCAACGGTGTGCGTGTACGATACTCCCATCGAATTTTGTGCATTGCGTCATGATGAATACACGAGGTCGGACTCACGTATTCCAGAGGTTCGACCTGCCACCCCACTGGAGGACGCGCTGCGTCGAGACTTTACCATCAATGCACTCTTCTACAACCTGCACACGATGGAGGTGGAGGACTACACGACTGGTATAGAGGACTTGCGGCGTCGTGTGCTGCGCTGCCCGCTGGACCCGAGCGAGACCTTTACGGATGATCCGTTACGTTTATTGCGCGGAATTCGTTTTGTGGGTCAGTTGGGTGAACTGGAATTCTCACTTGATGATTCAGTCATGTGTTGCGTGAACAAGGGGCTCCTTGAGAAGGTCACGGCGAAGGTCTCACGCGAGCGTATTGGGAAGGAGTTGGTGAAGATGTTGTCAGGACCCTCGCCTGAAAGGTGTGTGGACCTCCTTTTAAAGATGGGCCTTCTCCAGCACGTTTTGCTGGCGGAGCTGTACATGAAGAGAAGCCAGAAGGGCAAGTTCACCGCAGAGGTGGAGAGAATAGAGTATTTGGCTCCCGAAGACACCGCAACGGACGGCAGCCTTGCGAGCCTTGTGGCGCTAAATCGCACACTGACGCCTCTCTATTCGAGAAGCGACTCCCCATTGCTTCTATCGTCACCCTCCGATAAGTTGGTGGCCGTGCTCTTTCTTCTCTGCTTGCCACTCTACCGCGGCACGCCTCGGGAGCAGCTGGCGGAGCGCCTCTATGCGTTGTGTGTGAATGGGCTGAAGTTGCCACTCACCTCCTACAATGCCTTGCGGCGCATGATTGAATGCCACAAGACTCTTCTCCAGCATCGACTGGACATGCGCGGCATCACCAGTGCGGGGGTGACGGATGCAGCGAAACTCGCCCTGTTTGAGGGATTGAGTGACCTGAACGACAAGAGAATGGTTTCGTCCGCGTTCAAAATTGTGCTTTCCTCCTACTTGCTTCTTGAGCAGCGAAGTGAGCTTTTGGGCTGCAGCGACGTCGGTGCAGTGGCCGGCATCATTAGCGATGTGTGGTCCGCGTTGGAGCGGGAGTCGGGCCTGCTTGACGCCATGACGCGGCCGCTGCTGCTCAAAGGCGACGAGCTCTCCAAGCTCATCCCGCTCGACCCCCCACAAATCGGACCCGCACTAGTGGTGCTCCGAAGGTATGCGATGCTTCATCCGCAGGCGACGCGTGACGACATGATCGCGTGGCTGAGGAAAGAGAAGGCCGCACTGTAGTCGTGGGTAAACGTGTTGTGAGGAGGACACCAAAATGAGGCAGTTGAAAACATTACCACTGCCATTAAGAGCGGGAGCGCAACGGGGAAGACTGGTGGGGAGAGAGATGGAGAGAGAGAGAGAATTCGAGTGGGAGGTGCAAGTCCGTGTTGAGTCGCATCCATGCGTGTGTTGCTGTCGTTCTGGACGTGCACAAGTGCGCACTGCATTTATGCTTTCCTTTTTTTTTGGCAACTTTTTTTTATTCATTGTCAATTACGCATAAATGATTCACAAACTTCCACGCAAGGTTCACCCCCTTTCTGTGTAAAGAGCGTCGCAATTGCCCCATGAGCGCCATCGCCCTTGCGCCATCCACACAGTTCTGCTTGGGCTCCGGCAAGAAGCCGGGGTACGCCCGCGTCGTGGCTTCTCGCCGCTTCGCTGCCGTGGGGGCGAAGGAGCCGGAGGTTGCAGCGGTCTTTCTTGACGAGAAGAAGAACACGCTTCGTGTGTGGCGTGAAAGAAAAGGCGTCGCAACACTGCGAGGAGCCGGAAAGTACGCGACCCGCATCATTGACACGGCGAGTGATGGTCTTTTCACCGCGTTGCTTTTTCATCATGACAAGGGAAGGCGCTTGGGTCTGGCCATTGTGCAATTCAGCCCGTCCAGCGCGACACACCTAGCTGGGGATCCCGTAGACTACAGCGATGACCTGGATGCCCTTCTCACACCCCTGGTGCCGCGCGAAAAAAAGAGCGGCAAAACAACGGCGCAGCTGCAGATCCGTTGTTCAAGCCTAAAACTGACGGCTTCAGGTCTGGTGGTGAGTCTGCTGGTCATTACCCGGGCTGCGGAACTCTACCTGGCCATTGGTTCCATTGGGGCAAACAAATGGAAGTGTTTTGCTTTGGATGCTGCATTTGGCACGTATGCGGCGCTCTGTATTCAAAGCGATCGTGTCGTTTCCGTGCTGAGCTGTGCGGTGGGGCCTCCGGTCGACCACGCGATTGCGACAATATCCCCAACCGTAGAGTTGGCGCTATCAGTCTTTGAGGCGACACGTATGGCCACCGACGATAACGAAAAGAAGAGTTCCTTGCCCGCGCAGTCGAAAGGAGTTTACTGCTGCGTGATGCTTCGTGAAGCCATCTTTTCGCTGGATGACGGCGACCCAACCATTCGAGTCTGTTACCAGAGCCAGCTCTTCCACCTGCCCGAACGGGAGAGCGGTGTCTGCGCAGCACCCCTCTGCCGCATTTACGCAGACACTGAGCAGCGGCGCTACGCCGTCGTTGTCTTGCTCACCTCGCAGAGTTACTTGGTGCACCTGCGGCGATCCCCCTTCAATATGGAGCTGATCACCGGGTGCACCAAAGTTGGGTTGCAGAGCCTCCCACAGAGCATGGTGTGGCTAAGGCTACCGCACCCCTCGCGGCCAGAGGGCGGGTTGCACATCGTTCTTGTACTTTCACAGGACTACCGTCTTTATGCCGCAGAGGTGTTTGGAAGCGCCATCGACGTGGTGGTGAAGAAGGGAAGCAACACGGTTCACTTTGCGCCTCCAGCAAAAAGTCGTTTTGGCAGCGACTACATGGTGGAAAGTTCCACCGACTCCCCATGCCTTGTGCGGGTTGGGGAGACTGAGCTTCTTTGTTCCAACGGACTTCTGGCCGTGGTGCTGCGGGTGACCGCACTTGCCATTGATGGGGATATGCCGCGTGAACTTCTCTTTCCCTTGACCATAGACAATGAAACTTCAGAGAGGCGGGTCACGACGCTCGTGAAAAGCCTGTCATGCATTGAGAAGATGTCGAATTTGGGCCGGTGCGAGTTTATCCAGCTTGCGTTTCAGCAGGTTCTGCCGCTGCTCCGCTTTGCCGGATCTTCTCAGCATGAGGTGTTTCTGACCCAGCGGGTGTTTCAGGCGCTTTTGAGTGCTGCCGCCCCAAAGTCGGCGTCGGATTGGAGGACAATGTGGGGTATAACTATGCTGCTGCAGAGGATCCTCTCTAGGCGGGATTTGGACAACTCCGTCGTGTACACCGACATTTTTTTTATCCAGCTGGTGGCGGATTACGTCCGTTGTTGCAACGGGACAGTGGATGAACAAGAGCAGGCAAGTGAGTCCCTCTTAAGTGTATTATCGGATGAATTAAGATGTGCATGGAAGCGGTTTATGCAGCAGCAGGATGAGGATGTCTCTTTTGTGCTCGATAGTTTGGCAGAGCGTGTTTCTCTTGTTATACTTGCGGAGGAATGCGTGCGCCGCATGGTGGTGGTCTCCACTTTGTCAAACGGAACGCATGTGGTCTCTGTGGGGGACCGCGTGTCTCATGTCATCCACGCCATCGCAACTGCCTTACTGGCTTCCTGCTTGGAGGTGCCGGTGTACGTCAACAAGGATGCTGCGGGGCGAGTGGTCTGTCAAATGCACCAAGTGGGAGAGACCTCGCTTTTTCTGCCGCCGTCTCCTTTTAAGAATCGCACGGCGCTTGAATACGCCCTTACACTCTCTACAGACCTTCTTTCGGTCACCTCCCCAGACACACACGCGGCTTTGTGTGCCAGGGCGCTTCTTTCCATGCTTCTGGCGAGGCGATATCATGTCGTCTCTGCCTTCCTTCAGATTTTCACAGTCCCCTTGACGGAGTACTTGATGCCGCTTGGGTCAATTTGCGACAATTCCCAGCTTCTCACGGAGTGCTCGGCGGCAACCTTTCTTACCGAGTCCGCACTCTTCAAGAAGCTTCTCTCCGAACCTGCACCGTCGGACGTTCTTTGCGTTCTCTCTTCTGGGTCCTTGCTTGACGACTACTTCAACACGGAACTTTGGCGTTGCGCAGGGAATCTTCTCAGCAATGATACAAAGGCCTTCATTGTTGCCGCTGTCATTCACGCGATGACGGACCGGCTGATTGCCGCCCAAAACAACTACTCAACGAGTGTGACCAAGGCGCTTCTGAAGGAGGGGTTGGAGAATCCGCTGCAGGAGGAGGCCTCGGTGAAAGCGTGCCGAAAGAGGCTGAGGATCCTTCTGGAGCGACTTGAGCATGTTTGGGCCAGTGTTGCTCCATGGCTGCCGTACAAGGTGAAGGACATCTCAAGTAGCGTGCTCACCACCAACGCCGCTGTGCAAGACGGGGAGCACGACGGAGAGACGATCTGTTGTGGTTCAGTCGTCTCTCGCACGTGTGTTCTGTGCTTTCGCCTATTGGCCCTAATTGGGTATTCGCATCGCACAGAGGAGCAAATCACGGAACTGACAAAACAAGCGGCGGGTGACACATCGATTCTCGTTCGCGTGGCACTTTTGCTGCTGCAGGCCATTGAAAACTTGAAAGGGACTGCGCTGCCGGTTGAGTCTCTCCAATGGCAGTGTGTGGACCTCGCGGCGACGGCATTGCCGATGTGCACCGGTACACCTGGCCTGGCTGGATTCCTGCGAGAGATGCTTAAACAGTCAGAGGCCTCCTTGACGGTCGTTACTTCACTTAAGCAGTACTACTACGCTGTCGTGGGCCGTCTCACGGAGGTGTCGCAGGGGGGCGACGACGGAACTGCAGGTGCCGCCTTCCACGAGCTGCAAGCGCAGATGACGCTGCAGAAGAAGACCCCTCTCACGACCAACAAAGCCACCACGTACTTCCGTTGGTCCAAGTGTGGCGGTGCCGATGTGCCTGAATGGCCGAGCAACCACAACTTGCCCTCTCGCCGCTATTTGATCAACACCGAGTGGGTGGACAAGATGTGGCCGATTGAGTTTACGATGCATTCCCTTGAGGAATGTCTTAGCCGTTCACAGGAACGTATTTGCGACCGCAACGCCACAATAGGTCCGGCTGAGGGAGAGCCCTCGCCGCAGTTCTCTTACTCACTGTTCCACCAACTCTGCAAGCTCTCTCCGCCGGTGCGCAATCATGCTTTGATAGCCTCCACTGAAGCGGTAGCCGCAGGGGTGAGGAAGCGTGAGAGCAGCAGCCCTGTTCAAGGGATTCGACGCACCGGGGACTACGTGGCCCCTTCCCGTGTTGCTGTAACTCCCGTGGATGTCGCGGCGTCAGCGTTGCGTCGGAAGCTGTCACCCGAATCCGAGCCACGGCCGGCGAACTCCCCTCAGCTGACAGGGGGTAATGCTGCCTTGGCAACTGCTGCATCGACTTCGTCTTCTCCGCCGGCACGAGCCGTGCAATCGCCTTCACGATTTTTGGCGAACGGTGGTGATATTGGCGTCGCTGCCGCCGCGGCTGCGGCGTTGTTTCCACCCGAAAGTGTTGCCTGGTGGGAGACGGACGGCGTGCTTGACGAGGCTGAGAGGCGGCAGCGCGTCATTTGGGAGACGCTGCAGGACATCAAGCTTGAGATCACCACCACCGCCACGTCCTACACAACAGCAACAAGTGAGGGCGGGACAAGTACTCCTGGTGAGCGTGACCGAAACTTTTCTTCGCCGTGTTTCTCGCCTCGTCGCTGCAAAAAGCATCATGTGCAACACTACCGCTGCGCCAAACACCGAGCGCATGGGACCCGCGTCAATGAGAGGTACCGTTCGGGAGCAGATTCGCGCCATGGAGATACGCGTGTCGGGAGGCAGTTACCAGAAGTAGTTTCGCTGGCTGCAGTCAAGGAGGGGGCGCCGCTGAATGTGAAGCTTCTGCAATTTCAGAATGTGCTTCGACCACCAGATCTGCCATCTAACGTGGCCCCAGAGGCGAAGATGCAACTTGTGCAGCCACGAGTTCCAGAAGGCACAAACGAGGTGGCACCGCCTCAGCTTCTCGTTCTAAGGGCACGACCACACATGCCCCGCGTGAAGTTGTTCGTGTTGAGTGGAGCTGAAAGCAAAGACGTTGTGGTGGAAGGAAACAGTGCTAGTGTTAAGAGTGCTGCAACGGATCTACCGTATGGCTTTCTTGCAGGGTCATCGTCGCCTCTGCAGGCGTTGGCGCCACCAAGCTTGCCACCAAGTTCTGTGTTTGTCAGCCCGTCGCCTTTGCTGACGCTCAAGGTGCCGGTAAGCGCAGATGCAATCCAGCGGGAACCGGCCCCCCAAGCCGTGGGGGCGCGCCGACTGCAGGAAGAGAACTGTCGAGTGGGAGGCACGGAGGAGTCGTTGGGCCCTGCCCCTGCTCCCACCACGAATGTGCCGGGCACTCCTGTTCCATCCACAGTGCAGCTGGGCGTCCCCACAAATGCCACCGTCCCTGCAGTAACGTCGACTTCCCCTTGGACGCTGCCACCGTTTGCTTGTCGCGAGAGCGCCGGTGGATTCGTGCCGAGTGGCGCTGTTGCGCCGGCTCCAACGAGTAGCGAGGAAGTGGAGGTGAGGGAGTCAGCAAAACCACCGGTGCCGTCGGCGCCGGCAGCATTGCAGCCCGCCCTTGCAGCGGCCGAGGGGAAAACTCCTGCTGTGTCTGCGTTGAAGGAGCCGGTTCTGTCACCCTCAGAAACGGCCGCCTTTTACAAGTACGTGGACGAGCTGAAGGCGGCAGGCAGTGCTGCCGTCCCTGTGCCGCTCCCGCCCCAGTTTGTAAAGTCTTCGCCTGCGTCAACGCGGCCCGTCACGCCTACTGCAGTCGCCCCAGAAATTCATGAGCCGCAAAAACAACAGGAACGCGATGTTATTGGGGCTGTGAAGCAGCTACTCGCTAAGCACGAGGAGCAGCAGGCGAAGCAATTCAATGGTGTTATTGAGGCGCTTCGAACATCCACGCAGAGACCTCCTACGCCTGCGGTGTATGCCCCGGCTACGGTGCAGCAGCCGCAAGGGTTAAGCGCAACGGAGCAGGCAGCGTTGGTGCGCCACACGATTCAGCAAAAAGACAAGCTTTTGATGATGAACCAAGATCTACTGGACCTTCATGCGAGGGCTGAGCGTCTTACCGCAGCTCCAGTGAAGAGCGAGACCCCATCATTTGTTTCCCCACGCACTGTGGCAGGCTGTGAGACGCCGCGTCAGATAACACAGCCAACGATCCCTCTGGCTGTTCCTGTGCAGTTGGCCACTACGACCCCTGCAATAAAAAGTGAAGTTGCAACCATGTCTTCCGGCGTGCAAGTTGGTGCAAGCGGGAAAAGGATGGAAGACGCAGGCACTATGGCGGCAACCCCAGTCACGCCCGCAGCCACAGCAGCAACAGCAACAGCAACAACAACAACAATGCCACCTGCGCTTCAGGCGCTGGATGGTAACCGCGGCGAAATGACGAACAGCGCTCCGGACCCTCCTTCTGCTATGAGCATCAACCGTAGTTTGTCAAGTCTTTACCAAATAAACGCAGAGCTGTTACGCGTTAATACCACAGCTGGTGACATGGAACGAGCCATTCAGGAGTCAAGAGCCATGTTGAAAAAGCACGCTTCACTGGGTACAGCATACTCGTCTGCTGTTGAAGGGTCTTTAATGATGGATGCCATGCGCCGGCGAACCGCTTCTCTTGAGCAGCAGCTTACAGTGCTGAACTCCACTGCGGCAAAGCCCCCATGTTCGGCCAGCCAAGGCAGGGAAGGGACAGAACGGTGGCACGCCCCCTCCGAGGTGGAGGGAATCCCTGGCAAAGATGTGTTCATTTCCACCACCGTGAAGGGTGACATCTCCAGGCAGGGCAACGGGGGGGCGGCACGGGAGACCTCGCCGCCTCGTCAGTTTGCCTTCACAAGTGAGAAGGTTGAGGCTGATTTCGATGATTTTTCGGGTTTCACCCCGCCGGTGCCTCCTCCCGTTACAAAAGAACAAGCTGCCGGGCATGTGTTTCAGTCCCACACGGAGGAGGCTCTTCGGAAAAATTCGCTTCCGGTTAGCGCCAGTACCACGGAGACGCCAAGGGAGGCGTCGCACGCACTGACTTTTCACTCACGCGCGGCGGAGGCTGACCCAGTTGGCCGTGATCTATCACCGTCAGGGGGCAGGCGGGGCAATTCGCTGCAGCGCCGCACGGGTGCCTCGCCCTCGAGGCCGGTGATGGACTTAGCCCAGATCTATACGGCGGCTGATTCCTCCTTCAGGCAGCTGGCGGCGAGGAGAAGCGTGACCCCTGCCAGGACTCGGGCGAGGGCCACTTCGCCACCCCAGCGCGTACCGGGTCGATTTTCCATGTATGTGCCAACTGCCGCCGCAAGGAAGGCGCGGCGCGCGAACAGCAGCTGCAAGAATACTTCGCCGTCTCCCGACCCACACTCCTGCTCAGCGTCACCCGAGGCGGACGCGGCGACAACGACAATGGCAATAAAGGCTGTCAATGCCGCAAAGAGGGTGACGAGAAAAGCCCCCTCATCTAGCAGAGACAGCAAGCGACGGGAAACACTCGCGCTGCACACATCTAAGCGTCTTGCAGAGCTTAAAAGGGCCTTTTTATAGAGTAATAGAATAACTGAGCAAAAACAAATTCCTACAAAAAAGAAAAAAAAAACAATGTGGGAAAAATTATGACCCACGTATGTGTCTCTTTGACTTTCCCTCGAACAAAAAAAGAAAGACATGATGAGTTCTGTTGTGGTTGTTTTTCCTTCAGTATTTTGTATTTTGTATTCATTTTTAATATATATATATATATATATATATTTAATGGGAAGGGGCGGGGGATGGCATAGTCATGTGGTGTGTGAGCTTTGACTTTCCTCTTGTTCTTTTCCTTCACCGCCGTTCTCCGCGGTTGAGCGTCCTTTGCTTTACTTTGTTTCTCTTCCTTTTATGGGACCCCCATCAGTTAAAGGCTTGCACGGTGAGAGTGCCCATTAGTGAAAGGTGGTTGTCAACTGCATTTCTCTGGGTGTTACTCCGGTCTCAGGAATAATAGTACCCCCACACACCTACACATTCACACCAGGAGCTCGTTTTTTTTTCCCCCTTTGTTTCCCATCTTCCTCCACTTGTTCGCCACACAGACGGTACCTTTTTGCGTGGATGTACAGTCAGCAGTTTCCTCAGAATGGCCTGTATGGCACGCCCAACGTGATGCCCTACCAGGGTGTGATGCAGCCGCCGATTCCTTCCCAGGGGGCGGCCCCTGGCATGCTGTCAAACTACAACAACAGCCCAAGCCGTGGCGGCTACGATGCCTCACAGGCGAATCGAAATGTGGGACAGCGTCAGCAGTCGCGTCAGCGCAATAACGAGATTGGTGAGGTGAGCCGTGTCATTCATATGCGCAACATTACCCCCAACGTGACGCAGCTGAGCATTCAAAACCTTGTTCAGAACTTTGGAAACATAAAACACATTGTTATGCTTCGTCAGATGAACCAGGCACTCGTAGAGATGGAGTCCACCAAAAGCGCACAACAGTTGGTGGACTTCTTTCGCCAAACCGGATACGCCGAAATTGATGGCCGACGCGTGTACATCCGCTACAGCAATCATCAGGAGCTTACTGCGACTCAGCACACAAGCAAGACACTACTGGTTTCTATGTTTAACACCCAGTATGACGTTTCGGCTGCGGCGCAAATCACACCCATGATCGTGTATCAAATCTTTGGCAATTACGGTAGCGTGCAGAAGATTGTGGTGCTGCCGAAGAATGAGTCCAGCCAGAGAAACCACAACCGTGTCCAGGCGCTGGTGCAGTTTGACAGCAAGGCGACCGCGGAAAACGTGAAGAGCATCCTGCAAGGTCAACCTGTGACAATCGGCGACACGGTCACTTTTACCCTCGACATTCAGTTCTCGCGCATGGACGACATAAAGACTAGCAACCCTGCCATATCACTGGTGATCAACGAGGAGGGTGTTCCCCAGCCCCCACCGCCGCAACCGCCACAACCGCCGCAGCAACTGCCACACCCGTCCCAACAGCAACAGCAACAGCCGCCGCTGCCGCAGCAGCAGCAGCAGCAGATGCAGGGCGGGAACATGTACCCAGTTATCCCGCAGCAGTGGAACTAAACGGGGTGGCGTGCGCGTAAGAACGCGGAGAACTACGCGCAGGGGTAGAAGAGCGACTGCCGTCCCGCGCGAGCGGGAAAACGACACCGGGTGCGGCAGGGCCTAGGCTCCAAGGAACGGGGGAGGGAGAAAAAAGAAGACGAGAAAAAAAAAAGAAGCAGAAGCAAAGAATAGACGGGGTAAATAATACAGCTCCGTGTTCACCGGGGAAACACGATGAGTCGGTGGAAAAGAGAAGTGACGGGAGAGGCAAAAAAAGAGAAGCGAAAAAAAAAAAAAAATGGACTCGGGTTCATTTTGCCGAAAAGAAGAAGGAAAAGAAGCAGGAACGGAATAAACAATCAAATGAAAAAAAAAGAAGGAAACAGGAAGGGAAAAAAAGTGCAACGAAGAAAATTGAGGAAAATTACTCAGTGGACATGAGGAAGATGAAAGGAAAGAAAAATGAAGCAACGAAAAAAAAAAAACAAAAGAGGAAACTATATAAGAAGTTCGCAGCTGAAGACGGGGGAAACATTTAAGGCTATTCGCGGAGAATTCAAGCAATTACTGCCATTTTAGTTGACCCCCAAATGAGAACTTATACAAGCAAAGTGTTTTGCGCGGGGGGAGGGGGTGCGAACGCCGCCCAGACTTAACTGCACACAGGTTTCACTCCTTTCCCTTTATCCCCTACCCGCACACATCCTTCATGCTTCTTGCCGCTCCGGCACTCCTCCCTCGCTTCCCACCCGCGCTCCCACCCCTTCCTTCCCCTGTTCCTTTCCATCCCACACACTTTTTCGATACACTAGAGCTAGTCGGCATCAACACGCAATGATGGAAGCACACGTGAACATATGCGCCTACCCACCCGCCCACTCTACTGCGCACAGACGCGCGAGCACACACACACACACACACACACAGAGCGAGAGTGCGTGTGTGTGTGTGTGTTTATTCCCTGCACTCTCTTTCTCTCTTACTCTCTTGAGGGACGTGTACGAGTTGTCCGGAACCCATGAATAGTGCAATTTATTCCCACTTTGTTTTATTTGCCATATTACCAGTGTTTTGCGACGTATTTTTTTATTTCGCTTTTTTCATATTCGTTTTTTGTTTACCCTTTCTTTCTTTGCTTTTTTAAATTTTCATTGCCTATAGTTTTGCCTCTGGAAGCGTTTTATTATGGAGTCGCGAGTCAGTATTCCAGCGACGCTGGTGCAGTTTCTGATGCGCAGCCAGCCGCCCAGTAGTCGAGGCGAGTTCACGCTCCTTATGACGGCTATTCAGACCGCGGTAAAGGTCGTTGAGAAGCATATTCGTTCGGCTGGAATGCAGGGTCTCTTTGGATACCTTAGCGACAACACTGCCAACGCGACTGGAGATACGCAAGCGAGGCTTGACGTGATATCAAACAATGCATTCAAGGCTTATTTGTTGTCATCAACGGGGGTTGCTTTTCTTGGTAGTGAGGAAGAAGAGTCCCTTGTGTTGGTGGAAGGGGATCGTCAAGGAAATTATATTGTTTTTTTTGATCCACTCGACGGAAGCAGCAACATCGACGCAAACATATCCGTTGGCTCCATCTGGGGCATCTGGCGTGTGCCTGCGGAGATGAAAATCGCAAACATGGAGGAGGCCACTGCAGTACTAAAGCAGTTGTCGGGAAAATGCCTTGTGTCGGCTGGTTACGCCATGTATGGAACAGCCACAAATCTGGTGCTAACTACCGGGTACGGGGTGGATGGATTTACGCTGGACCCGACTATTGGTGAGTTCATTCACACGCATCCGCACATCACACTTCCAGCATCCCGGCCTATTTACAGTGTAAATGAAGGAAACTTTCGAAGCTGGGAGCCATGGTTCCAGAATTATTTACATCACATTAAATCGGAATCAAAGGATGGGTACACTGCACGCTACATCGGTTCAATGGTTGCTGACGTTCATCGCACACTGCTTTATGGTGGTATTTTCTGCTATCCTAGTGATCGCAAACGACCAGAAGGAAAGATACGCCTCTTCTATGAGGCTGCCCCGATGGCGATGCTTGTGGAGCAGGCTGGCGGTATAGCCTCCACAGGCAAGGGCCGTGTGCTTGATGTGGAACCGAAGGCGCTCCACCAGCGCGTGGCTGTGTACATGGGTAGTAGGCATGAAGTGAATTTGTGCCTCTCATTTCGGCAGAGGGAAGAAAAGAAGCCTGGGAGTAAGCTGTAAAAATGCGTTTAGGGGGCACGGGTGGAGAAACTTGACGACCAAGAAGGGGGGCCAAGTGGGTGTGGAGTACATTGAACGCAAGGAAAAAGAAAAAGAAATAGCAAAGATGAAAAATGAAGAAGGGTAGTAACTGCGAGTTAGTATCAAAGATAAAGATAGGAACAAAAAATGTGGTGAGTTCAGGAGCAAAGGCAAACAAGGAAAAAAAGAGAGAGCGGAATAAAGAGAGGACTATGTTTCCCAATTAGTCTTTTTTCTTTATCCTTCCACGCCTTCTTCACTTCTTTTTTTTAAACACTTTTCTCAAAGCTATTGCACACGCGTTTTTATTTGTTTGTTCTTTTTCCCCGTAGGGATGAGCGGGCCTTATTTTCCTTTTTTTTGTTTTATTCGGTATTTTTAACTTCATATTCGCTGTTGTTTTTTGTCGTTTTATGTCTTATTCTGCTTGTATGTACCAAGACCCGTTTTAGAAGTGGGAGTAAGGCAAGGAAAAAAAATTCGCGTTGGCGGTTACAAGGAGAGAGACACGCGTCGTACTTGTCTGCGCAGTACTAAATGTTGTGTCACTCGCACCGTGACCAAGGGGACGACCAAGCAAAAGTAGTAGCAAACCCATATACTCATAAATGCATGCATATATGGGAAAGGGGCCTCCGTCAAAAAAAAAAAAGGCTGTTAATTGATGTCTGAGAGTATTGTGAGATACGCTGCCGGCGTTCAACGTCATCCATTTCTTTTCCAGTTTGGAATGCGGTGTTATTATTGTTTTTTTTGTTTTACTTTTCTTTTTTTGTTCTTGTTGTCTTTCTAGACAGCTTCTCTTCTTTGCAAAATAGCATGTCAAGAATAGCGTTTGCAGGACGGAGGCGGTTCATCAGCCCCTTTACTCGGCTCAGGGCCTGGTGGCTGGGCATCGAAGACGTGGAGTTGCTTGCGCGGTACGGCGAGCGGGGGCTCTTTAGCACACTCTGGACGGAGTGGCGCGGCACTATTATTGTTTTGGCGTGCTCCACCGTCATCTTGGTCAACCACGCGCAAACAAACGGGGCCAATGAGATTTTGGAGAATATCGAGCTTAACCGTCGACAGTACTACAAACGTGACTTTGCACCAGAGTACGTGCCGAACGCACCGCAGGCAGTGTATGATGGCCCAAAGGGATATGCCTATCGCGACGAGGCGTCTGGGTTGATGCTGAACGCCGATAACAAGTGGGTCTCCGATTTGTCACGTGAGGAGCGTCGTCAGCGACTCGAGTCGTTGGAGGTCACACCGGCCATGGTTGAGGCCGCAAAAAGGCTGCGGCGTAGTTCACACTATCAGTGAGGTTGCATGCACGGGAGTGCGAGTTGGAGAAGGGCCGAAGGAAGGAGAGAAAAAGAGAGCGAGAAGAAAAAAATGAACGTGGTAAGGCAGGGTTGTGGTGCCTTTCATACAATACTTTCTGGCAACATATTTTTTCTTGCTACTAGCATTTTATATCTGCACCGCTCCCTATGTCGTTTGTCTTCAACCAGGCTAGTTGGCCGTTTGTGAACACCTGCGAAGGGGTGGGGGCAGTAGCCTGCAGCGGGAAAAGGGCACGGGGCGAAGCGGAAGGCGTCGCTGATGGCAGGGCGCCAGGTGGGAGACGGGGCGCCGGTGGTGCAACTGACCCCCGGCTCAAGTACCACACTTGTCCACTCCAGCCCCACTTCTGGACGCCACTCCCCGCCGCAGTCGGGAGTCACTGGGGTGCCCCCTACACAAGTCGCCGTGCAAAGTGGTGCGGGTACGTGTACACAAGCGCTTGAGGCTAATAAGCGGGCGTCGAACAGCACCTTGAATCCCGTGCCGGTTGAGGCAAGACGACGTGAGCTGAAGGATCGCCAGGGCGTTAGGCTGCGTATTGCGAGCAAAAAAAAGCCAGTGGCGTCTGAGAATGTGGCAGATGAGGCTAAGAACTTGGTGCGAACGCCGAGAGAAGAAAGTGTTCCTTCTGCGAATACGCCCGACGCGTGGCATGCGAGCACTGAAGAAGCAAGTGTTGCAACTCCATTGCCCGCAACAATTACTTGGCATGACTACCGGCGAAGTTCTTCCAGTGACAGAAGTGAAAGCAGCGATGGTGTCCCTCGCTACCAGCTTCCCTCAGTGGAGGAGAGGCTGCGCATCATAAAGGAGGAACGGATAAAACGGCTGGAAAAAATGCAGGAGAAGGTTGCGATGGAGAGGGCGGGAACCATCGCGCCACGACCAGCCACGCTAATAAGAGTCAATCAAGGCCGATTCAAAGCCATCGTGGGGCGCCAACCTCCGACCGCCAACAGCAGCAGTGCACCACTTCCGATTCAGGAACGCTCGGCTGATCGGTCGCAAGCAGAATTGCCCAGGAGGGAGACGTCATTGGTTGGCTGTGAGGTGGCGTTGGAGCCGCGTCTGCCAGTCGTTTCCCCCGACAAGGCACAACAAGCGGAGGAGGAGGAGGCAACCGCTCCACTATGGATAGAAAAGGATGAGTAACTGATTTCACTTTCTATATCTTTTTACCTCTTATATACATTCATCCATTTCTCTCTTTATGCAATGGAATGATATTATGTTTGCATTTTTTGGAGTCCTGACAAGGGCTAATACAGTTGTTTCATCGTATGAAGCGTGAGTCAGAGTTGTCTTCCGCTGTTCCCTTTACTACGCCTGTTTGCTTGTTTGCTTTTTCTCCTGCTTCTGCCAGAAGGTCCTTCCAGGAAGGACCTTCGTCATTCATACGGAGGCAGAGTGAATTTTTGCTTTGCTTTCGTTTAGTTTCTTGGCTGTTATTTAAATTTTTTTCTGCATCTTGTTTTCCACCCAAACGAAAAGGTATAATATCTTTTGTTAACTGTAGTACTGCGTCAGCAAATGCGACGGGCATTGGAGCTGTTGCCTGACTGCGTCCTTCGCCGCCCGCTGGCAGCGTCGACTACGACATGCATCTTGCGGCGGTTTCGGACTCAGTCCGGGGTGGCCGCTGAGGCCGAGCAGGAGGAGCTTGAAAAGGACAAGGCTGCATTGAGAAAGTACTCGATTCTGGCGGGCGTTGGCCTCTTGTGCGCGGGCACACTTTGGTATGGCTCGAGGCAGGCAAATCGGCGGTACTTTGGCTCCGAGGGCAGTGCGCGGGTAAACGTTGAGACGCGCGGTCGACCGGCACTTGGAGGCCCCTTCGTTCTTGTGAAAACTGATGGCGAACCCGTCACGCAGGCAGAGTTTTTGGGTTCGTGGACTTTCTTTTACTTTGGCTTCACGCACTGCCCGGAGATCTGCCCAGTGGAGTTAAATCGCATGTCAAAAGTGGTGGACGCCGTGCGGGCACGACGCCCCAAAGATCGTATTCTCCCGCTCTTCGTCTCCTGCGACCCGCGGCGGGACTCGCTGGAGGCCATCGCAGAGTACCTCTCCGACTTCCATCCGGACTTTATTGGGCTTGTGGGGACGCCGAAGCAAGTGAATGATGCCTGTAAGTCGTATCGCATCTACTACTCGCTGCC